ATATGACAATAATGATTAAACATGAGCATCAACATCATAAAATAACAATAAGAACCAATAATTACGTCAGTTTTCTAAGCCGCTCGTGACCATGAGCATGGCTGTTATAACAATTTTTAACACTCTGCAGAGGTTGTACACCTTTACCCATGAGTCGTGTTGCCCTTTCGCCCGAGGTAGCTAGCCTCTTGACCCACTTCCAAGGAAGGTCGGCAGGGTTCACAATGAAGTCTTTCAAATGTTCGTTTAACAAATTAGTAGCCGCTAGGTTTCGATGGCAAGTAAATATAGGAAACCCTCTTTCGAATGCACAATTCCTTCGCGGCTATACACATAGAAACAGAGGTTGTCCTATACCCGTCTCATAACTACTAACAAGCTAGAAAAGGTCTTCCTACTAAACTAAAGCCATAGCCAAGTAGCACTCATGGTTGTACTGTAAGTGCCGGGTTTTGCTTACAGATAAGTCATTAGGAAAAGGAATCTAGAGCACCATAAAAACAATAATCTAGCCCCCTAATTCCATGTTGCTAAAAAGAACATTTTAAACATTATCGCATGTCATTAGTCAATATTAAGGAGCTTCTTCATTAAGTAGAGCAACTAGCAAAACTACCCATATGCATGAACCATAGGTATGAAGGATCAAGATAACAAATACTAGAAATATCCTTTAGGGCTAATCATATTCGGCACATAGTGACATTATAATTATTAGGTGTCAAGGAGAGCCTCATACTATACTTGACTTTTACTCTTACTCAAACTTCCTCACACTTTGCTTCTGGTCATCATCTTCTGATCTTCAGCGCCACAAACGGTTATGTTCTACTCGTAGCAAGCACCACGCATAGACAAACATTTAAGCAACAAATAAAAGCAACTAAGAACAGTACACCACATGATACAAAACAACATACTAAAAGAGAGCTAGTTGCTACGGTCACAAGAACGCAAGAGACGCCGAAAACGGAACTACCATTAAAAAGAAACGACTACCGAGAATTTTACTATATTATAAAAGAGACAACTACAAGCTTGATTTATTTTAGTTAAGCAAAACCATGAGAAATTTATTAATTCAGACTAGTATATTTAAACTTAAAAACCGAGTTAAAGCTAATCATATTTTATTTGAAAATGTTATCACATAATCTATTAAACAAGTTAAACTTTATGTTTGCAAAAGAAATAAACATGTAAGAGCATCTAAACGAGTTTATGACATATGCAACTTGTTTAAACTAAGCAACTTATAATTTAGAAACACATTTATATTAGCAATTAATCATGTTAACATTTATGTATAAAATGCCGAAGTATGAAACCTATATTGGTTTTAATTATAAAACTAGGTGCAAGCATATTAATTAAATTAATATTTAACTATATATGGAAAAACATGTGACATGGAAAACATTAGCACTACTATGCAGAGCACATCGATATGAATCTAACGCAACTTGAACAACCCAAAACGGAGTTAAAACCAATAAACAGCGGAGATTTTCGTACCAGTGGCAAACATGTAAATAACTGCATCTTCTACCTCTGTCCATCTTCTTCCTTGCTGTGCCGAACGTGGTCTCCATGGCCATGGAGCACACGGGGACGTGGGTCTCGGCCGGCGGGGAGGGGCGGCCGACCGGTCGCTGCCGGCGGCGGCGCACCGCCAGGTCGCGGGGCGGCAGAGCCGGGCTGGCCTGCACGACCGCGCAAGGGGCGTCGGCGGCCCGCCCTGCTCGAGCACCACCTGCTGCTTGCAGAAGCCGCGCAGGGCGTGTGACCGGGGGCCGAGGTGCGGGGCCAGGGCGCGCGGGGCTGGGCCCGGCAGCGACGGCACACCGAGCCGAGGTAGCCGGAGAAGATGGAGAGAAGGCCGGCCATGGATGCTTCTCGCCGGAGAAAAGGAAGATGAGATGGGAAGCGGGTTAAACGGTGATGGATTCAAGAAAACGAGTATACCACGACGTAGAGAACGAAGAGAGCTACCTCGTGGTGGTGACGGAATTCGCCGGGACACGACGAACTGACCGGAAAAACTCGCCGGAGAGTTCGGCGGAACCTTAGCTTTCAAGGACTTCGGCGATAGATGTAGGGAGCTAGGAGTAGCGGCTCGGAAAAAGGATTTTAGATATAGAATCAGCGCGTCGAGCACAGCACCGGCATACATACATATAGATATATATATGTGTGTGTCTACGGGTTGAAGTTGGTGTAAAAACGAGATATTTTTATTATTTTCGAAATTAATTAAATTCGGAATTAAATAATTCTAGAAAATTCAGAATTGATATTTAAGCCACGAAAAATACACTGGAAGCTCCAAAAATTCAAAGAAAATTCTCAGAGACACTTTGGAACATGTTGAACCCAAATAAAATATTTGGAACTCATGAAAAAATATTTTGGAACATCTAAAAATTAGATTATGCTCGTAGAAAAGCGGGAAAAATTCCAGAAAAAGGCGAAAAAAACTCCAAGGACGGTTTCACATATGGTTGATGGATGATGAACTCAAAGAAGTGATTTAGAGTAGAAGAAAAATATCTTGGAAAACTCCAACGTAAAGATTAAGATCAAGAATGCAAGGATTTTAATACAGAAAAGACAAACAAGCCGAAAAAAGATAAACACCTTATTAAACGTGTTTTTTAAAAATTTTGTTCACAGCACAAAGTCAAGCAACAAGCAACATCACATCAACAAACAAGCCCATCATATTAGTTCGAAAAAGTTTGAAAATTCACATTTTTCTATAAGTAAATTTGAGCCAAATCAAACTAATCTTGATAAGTTTTATGCAACTATTAAAACAAATTATGTTTTGACGTTTTCTATTCACAACCAAAAATTAGAAATTTTGGGGTGTGACATAGAGAGAAGGGAGATGGGGCCATAACATGAAAATGATTCTCCAATAATCTGTTTTGTCATGCATTTTTCTTCTAAAATTGGATCAATCTTGATATTCGTGTGAACGATCAGAACATATCTGAGTATCCTAGTACAAAGCAATAAAATCTAAGAGAAAAGATTCTATGCCCGGAATAAGGGGATTAGTTAGGTCTGATTGTATTCATTAGTGTTGAAATAGATACTAGCAGTAAGGTTTGTGCATCATTCCCAGCTAATGACTTTTTTTCTCGAATAACCAAAAGGTTTGTGCATCATTATCATTAAGGTAGAAGAGTCTAAGCATACAAACGACATGCTTCGGACGCCCTAGGTGGTCTAGAGTTACAGCAGCAAGCCGGACCTCCCAAGTTTCGAGGTTCATGCTAAGCTATTACTCATGAGTTAAGTAGGCACAGCGACGCGACCTAAGTCATGCCCTTAAGTCGACGCTGCTAGCTGCGTGACCCTAGTCCACAAGCCGGGAAGAAATCATTAGTGCTTCGATGTTGGAAGTGTTCAACCCAACCCCCCATAGAGATCCTCATAGGCCTTCTTTGCCGACGTGTTTGGCGTTGAAAGTCCCAAGGTCATACCCATGTGTTGCATGATTAGGACTTCACCTTGCTTGAACACTGGCACCAGAGAGAGGCTTTGTGCTGCCAGGCGCTTGCTCCGCATGGGGAATACCGACTGGTTAGTCGCTGCCGGTTGCTTGGGAGTTGTCGAAAGGAGCGGAGAGGCTGTCTTGCAAAGCACTCGCTTGGTAAAGCTCTTCAGGCGCTAGACGGCGGAGGAATCACCGTCCCCGGCCGAGTGGTCGTCCCTCGGTGACATACGCAGGTCTCCGGGACCAGCATCAACCAAGGATAGGGCCCACCCAAAGCCCAGTGAAGAGGGTTCTCTGTCTAGATCCTGAGATGCTGCTGCACCCAAGGGTCTGCCCTGCACGGCTGCACCTCCCCTAGCGGAGTAACCTAGGCCTGGGGAGCACCTGCTCAGTGGAGGCAATCGAGTCTGTTGCCCACTGAGTGGGGCACCAAGGGCTGTTCGTGGTTACAGTCTTCGCCAGGGGAGCATCTGCACGGCAGTCGAAGCTCTCTTGACCATCCGAAGCGGCACGCTGGATCCATACCTGCTACCTCGACTTTTTATTAGCCCTTTTTCAGTTTCACCCTAACTTTCAAAAATTTGCTTTAGTACCTGTCACATCGAATGTTTGCGGCCCGTGTATGGAGCATTAAATGTAGACGAAAAGAAAAACTAATTGCACAGTTTGGTGGGAAATTACGAGACGAACGTTTTGAGCCTAATTAGTCCATGTTTGAACACTATTTATCAAATAAAAACGAACGTGCTACAGTAGTCCCAAAATCCAAATTCCTACAACTAAACACAGCCTTAGTGAGGCTATTAGGTAACCTAACTATTTGTTCAACACCATTTGGATCCTCAATTTAATAGTTAGAGGTACATATAGCTTGGAAAACCAGTTAATAACGTATTAGTTAGGATATTCAGAACTTTGGATCAACTGGTACTAGTTTTAGCTGCTAATTAACCATTAGCACCATAGATAATACAATTATCCAAATATGCTCTTATGATGAAGATCAGCTTCACAATCTTGAGTGTATGGTGAAGGTAGTCAGGCCAAAGAAAGGTGTGAGACTGACATAGCAGGATCCAGATCCCGGCCAAGCATGTGTTTTAAGTACTACTCATGTTTAGCGCCTCTTTTACTTTGACAGCCCAACATAAAACCTTAATTTGGCCATCTTGTGGCAGTGGCACCCTGGACCAAGTCCAGCTAGCCTTATCAAGTTTCAGCTAGTCCAACAAGAGGCCTAACGCAGAAACCGCGCCAAAAACGCCTCCATTGCTTTGTTTGCTGGCTAGGCTAGGCTGGATCTTCCATGCATGGACACAAGACCCTCTAATCCCCCAATAATAGCCTGAAAAATGAAACAAATACGAGAAAAATCGTTGCATCTCGTTGAGAACTCAGACAGAGCAGAATCCGTTAGAATGTTCTTGAGTTGATGAGTTACCAGATTGCTACTCATGTGTGAACCTCTGCAGATTAATCATACTGAATGGTGGAGATGGAGTTGCAGATTGCTTCGGGAATCCTGATCGATCTCCAGCAACTGGAACAGGTAAAGATTTCTTTTGGCTTCATTTCCAGACCTTTTGGAACGCAGAATTGTCGCGGTGTAATTTGTCGAATTTATCCATGCGCAGCGAATTTCGGAATGCACCTTCGTCTTGTTTTAAACCCACGAGGAGAGGCAATGATGTCGAACGCCGGCGGCACGCCGGCGCGGCGGAACAGCGATGAGTCAGTCTCCCCGAGGTGCGTCCTCGACGACGGCTACATGACAGGCAACAGCACCACCACCACCACCACCAGCACGCCAGCAACGACGACAATGGCAACGACGAGCACGTTGTTTCCAGCTATCACGGCGGCGACGTACATCGACCCGTCCGCGCTGCTGAAGGCAACAACGGCGGCCGGGCGGCGCGACGGGCCGGCGGCGCCGCCGTGGAAGGCCGTGGCCGAGGCGTGGCGCTCCAGGGCCAAGCGCCAGCTCTCCGGCCGCATCCCGTCGCTGGGTCCCACGATGTCGTCGACGCTCCGGCGCCTAAGCATCCGCCGGCCGGACAACGTCGAGGTGCACGAGTTCTGCGTCCTCAAGCCGACCCTCCGCACCTTCTCCCTCGCCGAGCTTAAGAAGGCCACCCGCAACTTCAGCAAAGGTACGCTGACCACAGACCACCGCCTCCATGAACGGTCCCCAGTCACCAGCTTGTTCACGGTCGAGCTTCGCCTCCATGGATGGACACGACACATCCATGGTGATCGATGCCTCTCTTCTACGTCGTCTGGGTGCATGCAGAGAACATGGTGGGCAGGGGAGGGTTCGCCAAGGTGTACCGGGGCAGCCTCCCGGGCGGCGAGCTTGTGGCGGTGAAGAAGCTGACGGCGGCGCAGGGGGCAGACCGGATGGAGGGCTTCCTGTCGGAGCTGGGCCATGTGGTGAACGTGAGCCACCCCAACATCGCTAGGCTCGTGGGCGTGGGCGTCGACGGCGGCGAGCACCTCGTGTTCCCCTTCTCCCGCCTCGGCTGCCTCTCCGGGATGCTCCACGGCAGCGGCGGCGCGGAGCCCATGCCGTGGGAGGCGAGGTACAGGGTGGCGGTGGGCACGGCGCGCGGGCTGGAGTACTTGCACGAGAGGTGCGCAAGGAGGATCGTGCACAGGGACATCAAGCCCGCCAACATCCTCCTCATGGACAACTATGAACCCCTGGTATGTAGGTGTATGTTGCTTCACAGTTTATTTGGACACTGGCCTGCATGGTTTCAAATAGTTTCTCTAACAACTATACGTCACTTTTCGTTAGGTTCCAACTGAGTCAAACTTCTCTAATTTTTATCATGTTTATAGAAAAATATAATGCATCAAGATCTTGAGCATCAAAATAACCTCTCTCTCTCTCTGACTTTGATAGTGCAATGTCTCAAACTTACAGATGTCGTTATATCTTTCCTAACAACTTTGGCAAAGTTCGACAAATTTTATTTAAAACAAAGGTAAAATGAATAGCTTGGAATGGAGGGAGCAGTAAAATCTTAAATGGCTTCCTCTATTGGATGAAAATTGTGTGCTCCGTTAATAATAAGTTAAATGAGCAGCGATGACCTTGATTATCTTCCCTGACTTTTACTACCAAAGCCCAAAATCGAACGGTACGGTGACAAGGGATTTACAACCAGTGGTGAAAATGTAGCGCCGGTGATTTTGAGGGTCGTCGCGACGGCCCCTCTGGAGTATGTATAAAATCTTATAATATATAGGTTAACATGTCTGATAATTATCGAGAAATAATATAGATTAAAAAAGCAATATATTTGTACATGTCTGATAATTATTGAGGAACAATGTAGATTAAAAAAGTAATATATTCGTTTTCTTTTCTCAGCCCTTGACAAAGGTTTCTTAGTAACATTCTAAAATTCTAACACCTAAATTAGAAGAAAAACATGACTATACGAGTATAAAGTACTAGAAGTCTAGAATATTATATAAATAATTAATTTGTATTAAAAATGAAAAGAAAAAAACCTTGGGCCTAACCAACTGATCGATTATCGTAATTCGCAAGAAGCCAAGAATTAAGATGTCGTCGTGGAGCCCTACCTGGTCGCCGCCGTCGTGCGCCGTGTCCGTGTCTCCAGCATCCAGCTCTTCGTGGCGGCACGGCTCGCTAGCTTCACGTATGTGCGTCGGCATGTTGCGAACTCACGATCAGAGTGTGCTATGTGCAGCGCGGCTCCTCGGCTCCTCTATGCCCTAGGGCCGTGGGGAAGGAAAGCTAGGAAAACAAGGCCGATGTTGTCTTCTTGGGCCGCCTGGCCACTTCTGTCTCTCTTCTCATTAGTTTGCTAATGCGTAACGAACTATAGGGCCTGGAGGTTTGTTGTTAGGATCGAATGATTAGTACCTATGTGTGTGTAACCCGTAGATCCGGGGAAGACCCTTCTCGCCTTTCACTATTGTGGCACAGCAGTAGCGTAGACGCCGGTGTAGGGGCAGCTCCGGCTCGGTGGCGAGACGGCGGTCCGGTGTAGACCTGCAGGGGAACGACGACGGTGGCGGGGCACATCCCGTCGCTGGCAGCACGACCTTTGATCGGATTAGGGTTTTCTGTAGATGGGTGTGGCGGCTCCTTTGAACCTCGTAGCTTGAGCCGTGATCCCCACCTCTCTTTTATTTGTGCTGTGCGACAGGGGCCCACCAACCATATTAGGGTTGGGCTCCCCTGATCATGGAGCAGATACAAGGGCCCAATAGGCCGTTGGGCCTATTGGTGGAGATCAACTAACATTCTCCCCCTTGATCTCATTCCATCTTTCACTTTCATATCATTTACTTTTGTTCATTCCATTACAAATTAGCTCATAGAGCATGTCTCATCGTCACGGTCCATTGCCGATAGACTTAACAGCTACAACTCACTACTCTGTTCTGAAATAGATACTTATCTTTGGGCCTTCTTTTGTCCAGGAATTTTATAGGCTTTCCCTTAAACCCATGCTAGCTACATGTTCTCTGAACACCATGTTCTCTGAATACGTTGGGTGATAAGCCTTTTATAAGCGGATCCGCGAGCATCTTTTCTGTACTTATATGCTCAAGACTTATGACTTGATCCCGGACTTTATCTTTCACAACATAATACTCTATGTCAATGTGTTTGGCAACACCACTTGACTTATGTTGTGAGCATCCTGTACTGCCAGATTATAATCGCAGTATAACTTTAGTGGTCTATAGATGTCGTCAACCACCTTCAAACCATATATGAACTTCTTTAGTCAGTTCAGCTGCCCGTTGCCTCATAACACGCTACAAACCGTCATACATTGTGGACGATGTAGTGACAGTTTGCTTTGAGCTTTTCCATGAAATAGCTCCCCTTTGCGAGATGATGGAAAATCCACGTCTGGATATGTATTCACTCTCGCATAATCAGAATCTGAATATCCCACTATGTGGAATGAATCAGATCTTCTATATGTCATCATGAGGCCTTTCGTTCCTTACAAATAATGCAAGACTTTCTTTACTAATTTCAGTGTTCTATTCCAGAATTGCTCTGGAATCTGCCAAGTAAAACCCGGTAACAAATGCCAAGTCAGGGCGCGTACATACTTTAGCATGTTGCAAGCTTCCGACAGCTGAAGCATATGGAACCACTTTCACTTTATCAATTGAGCTCATATTGGTTCCTGGGGCATTGAAAATCCCTATATCTGTCACCCTTGACTATAGGAGCAGGTGAGGGACTACATTTGTGCATACTGAATTTCTTTAAGATCTTTTCCATGTATGTCTTTTATGACAGTCCTTATACCCTTTTTCTTCTATCTCGGTGAATCTCGATCCCTAGAACGAACGAGGCTTCGCCAAGATCTTTCATATCAAATTTCTTTATCTCCAGTAGTAGACTGACATCACTACTAGCAAGTAAGATATCATCTACATACAGGACAAGGAAGATAAACTTCCCATTCTTAAACTTTGTATTGACACAATTGTCCTCTACATTCTCTTTACTTTGTATAGACACAATTGTCCTCTACACTCTCTTTAAAACCCAAAATTCTTTATTGTCTGATCAAACTTCAAGTACCACTGTCTTGAAGCTTGTTTTAATCTATAAATAGATTTCTTTAGGCGGCATCACATTCGTTCTTTTCCTTCCATGACAAAACCTTTCGGTTGTGCCATGTAAACATTTTTCTCGAAGTCTCCGTTGAGAAATGTCGTCTTTACATCCATTTGATGTAATTCTCAATCGTAATGTGCCACTAATGCCATTATGATTCTGAAGGAAATTTTACATGAGACTGGAGAAAAGGTCTCATTGTAATCAATCCTTTCTCTTTGCATATAGCCTTTTGCCACAAGTCGCGCTTTATATTTCTCTATATTCCCTTGAGAGCCAAGTTTTGTTCTGTAGACCCATTTACAGCCTACTGTTTTGGCTCCTTTAGGAATTATTTCCAAGTCCCAAACTTTATTAGCATTCATTGATTTCATTTCATCTTCCATGGCCTCAAGCCACTTTGATGAATGATCACTTCTCATGACTTCTTCAAATGAGGTGGGATCATCCTCCATTTGAAATTCCTCAGTGTTGTAAACTTCATAATCAGCAGGAATAGCTTATTTTCTAACTCTTTGAGACCTTCTAGGGGCCTCCACTTTTGGCACATCTTCTGTTTGAGACTGTTGTTGCTCCCCCTCATGTGTGGCAATAGGTTCTATAGAATCCTGAAGAACAGGTTCCTCATCGTCTTTCATTGTTGCCACAGGTGGGATAACAACAGGTGTTGACACCATAGTCTCTTGCACTATCGGTGCAGCGACAACAGGTAGTGAGAAAATTGGCTCATGAATCATTGGAGTGGGCGCATACACCCACTTCACTTCAAGGACAATTTCTCGAGCTAGCATGCTCCCCCTCATCAATTCATCATCTAGGAAGACAGCATGTCTCGTCTCCATAAACTTTGTCAGTACCTCTGGACAGTAGAAACGAAAACCTTTTGACTTTTCTAGGTAGCAAAAGAAATGGCACCTTACTATTTTGGGATCTAACTTCCTAATGTTTGGGTTAAATACTTCAGCCTCAGTAGGGCTCCCCCACACACACGCAAGTGGTTTAGTGAGGGTACTCTTTCTGTCCACAACTCATACGGTGTTTTGGGCACCGACTTTTTTGATACTCTATTGAGAATATGAATGGCGGTTTTAACGCCTCCATCCACAGGCTCAACTGTAAGGTGGAGTAACTTATCATACTGCCCACCATATCCATCAGGGTACGATTGTTTCTTTTAGCTACTCTATTCTGCTGAGGTTCACCCAGTGTAGAATACTGAGCTACTATGCCATTCTTTTAGGGTATGCCGACCGTAGTACTCCCCACGGTCAGACCTGACTATTTCAATCTTTAATATCTTAAATTTATCCAATACATCTTTTCTTTCTTTGAATGGATAAATATAGCCGTAATGGGAGTAATCATCTGTGAATGTTATGAACGAATCATAACCATCCACACTCTTTATAGGAAAGCTGACCACAGATGTCTGTGTGAATAATCTGTAAAATTTCTACGCTTCGTTTATCATCTTTCTTTACATACTTTCCTTTTATGTATTCTGAGGGCTCTAATGAAGGAAGAATATTATTCTTAATTTATCTTTCTATTCTCCCCCTCGAAATATGGCCTAAACGACAGTGCCATAATTTCGACGACGCATCGTGAGCTCTCTTATGCCATTCTTTTATCAGAGTAACACTCTGTCACTAGCTGCTTTATCAGCTGGGTAGCATATGTCTTTGAAGAGCCAGTGAACTGACTCTTTATTCTATTGAGGTACTCGGTGACCGTGTCACACTCTGGAATTGAGCCCACAATTGCAGGTTCAATCATGTTCTTTATCACAGCCAAACATTTTTTGTTGGCAGTGACCCACTTCCTATGCACAAAAGTCATAGGACTATCTTTTGGGATTCAAAATCCCTCTTTAGATGCCCAAGTGGCATCATTCTCTTTTGTCTCCCTCACCAGTGCCATAGAATCAGTGGGACACGGTGAGGTGACTACCCAGTTCACCTTAGCCAAGATGAAAACCAGGTCAACTCTTTTCTTAACATAAAATTAACACCATTTGCATGCCTTGATTCCAACATTGGTCAAAATCAAAACATACAATTATTCTTATACACTGATCCTACATTACCGTTGGGCAGAAATAGAATTAATGCATAAATCTTTAACTTCCACAACTGTTCTTACACACTAATTCTACATCATCGTTGGGCAGAAGTAGAATTAATGCATAAATCATTAAAATTAACATTTGTTCTTATACACTAATTCTACATCACCGTTGGGCAGAAGTAGAATTAATGCATAAATCATTAACATTACGATATTGTTATTAACAACGTTGGTCAGAAAATAACAACATCATAATTTTATCAAAACTCTTTTTCTCCAATTAAATACCATATTGGTTCAAAATAACTGGAGAATCAACAATTTCTTTGGCTGTGGAAAAACTCTCTTTTCCTTGAATTTTACCCACAGGGAAAATTGTTTTTTCTATTTTCTTTAATCCATTAATCAATTTCTAAGAAAAAAACATTTACTGGAAAAACTTTCTTTTTCTCCAGTTAAATATCATGTCGGTTCAAAATCACTGGAGAATATACTTTTTCTTTAGCAGCGAAAAATTTTTCACTCAATTTCATGAATTTTACCCACAGGGAAAAAATACTTTTCTATTTTCCTTTTGAGCCAATTTGTATTTTTCAATTTTCTGGAAAAAGAAAAAAATGCAAAACTGGACTCAAACTTTACTGTTTCGGCCCAAAAACCGCAGAAACGGCTCGGCCCATTTCTTTTCGCGCGCAGGCCGCACCCAGGCCACAACCTAGGCCTGGGCCGGCAACATCCCGCGCGCCCGCTCGCCCGCCTGGGCCGCGACTTGGCCCATTCAATCTCGGCCATCCATTCACATTCGACGGCCGAGCGCGCATCTCGCTCGTATAAAAGCCGACGCCGTGCTCCCGTGAGCGAAAACCCTAGCTCATTCTTTCGGTTGCTTCCTCTCTCTTCTTCGCCGCTCTCTCCTCTCTCTACCTCAGCGCAGCGAGCACAACGAGCGACTGAGAGCCAGCGAAGGTGACCATGGCACCGCCGCCGGCCCCCTCGCCGGCGTGCGCGCTCCCCAGCGGGTGAGCGCGCCATCGTCGAGCGGCCTGGCCGCGGTGACCCCTTGGCCGATCCCGGCGAGCAGTGAGCCCGCCTCGGTCTTCTTCTCCCACGCCAGCGAAGGGTTTTCCCGACGCCTGGCGAGGTTTTTCCGTTCCCCTTTCCCTTTCTCCTTTCCCATCCCCTTCTTCTTTTCGATTTGGATCTCGTTTCTCTTTTCTAAACTGGTTAGGGTTTGGATCTTCCCCTTCGAATTTGAGTTGCATTTTCTTTCTTTTCTTTTCGCTTGTTCACCCGAAAAGGGGATCTAGGGTTAGGGTTCGTTTCTTTTGATTTCTTTTTCTCTTTTGGAGTTCATCCGAATGGCTTTCCCTTTTCCCTTTCTCCATGCGAGTTAGGGTTAGGGTTCGGTTGAACCCGGATTCTTTCCCCTTCTTCCCCTTTCCCCTTCTTCTTTTGGGATTAACCCGATTTGGGATTGGGGTTAAAATTAGGGTTAGTCTTAGGGTTCGGCCAAATCCGAATCCACTCTTCTTCTTCTTCTACTGTTTCTCTTCCCGTTGAAGGCTTTTACGTGTTTAGGGTTTGGCTTGAAGTGCCGATAGCCCTTCCTTTCACCCAGTTAGGGTTAGGCTTGGGGAACCTTTATCTGTTCAGATCCGAAAGGAACTCTTTTCTTTTCTTAGATCCGAATTGGATCTGTTCTTGGGTTAGGGTTCGGCTTCGTGAGCCAAGGGTCCTATCTCTTCTCTAATCCAAATGGATCTTGTTTTCTTTTCCCCCGCGCGGTGGCGGTGGTGACCGGTAGACAGTGACGTCCGCCACCCCGGTCTCTCTTTCTTTCTTCTTTTACCCGATTAGGGTTAGAGTCACACAGAGACAACCTAGCTCTGGTACCATTGTTAGGATCGAATGATTAGTACCTCTGTGTGTGTAACCCGTAGATCCGGGGAAGACCCTTCTCGCCTTTCACTGTTGCGGCACAGCAACAGCGTAGACGCCGGTGTAGGGGCAGCTCCGGCTCGGTGGCGAGACGGCGGTCCGGTGTAGACCTGCAGGGGAACGACGGCGGTGGCGGGGCACATCCCGTTGCTGGCAGCACGACCTTTGATCGGATTAGGGTTTTCTGTAGGTGGGTGTGGCGGCTCCTTCGAACCTCGTAGCTTGAGCCGTGATCCCCACCTCTCTTTTATTTGTGCTGTGCGACAGGGGCTCACCAACCATATTAGGGTTGGGCTCCCCCGATCAGGGAGCAGATACAAGGGCCCAATAGGCCGTTGAGCCTATTGGTAGAGATCAACTAACATTTGTATGCCTGGGTTTGGGCCCTTCCCCGTCTGTGCCCTCGGCCGTCGCACTCCATGCCCTCCCCCTAGGGCCGGCACTGTGAAAATGTATGTGGCTTGATCTACCCCGGGACACAAGGTATAGATGCATGGGCCATGGTTGCTTGCTGGTAGCTAGAGATGACGTCGAACTAATGTTAAGGGCCGGGCAAGGACGTGCATGTGTGACGTATGTGTACGTATCTACATGGTGGCCGAACTGGAGTCCTCTTCCAGTCGACAAGCTTGCTAAGGGGTGAGGGCGATGAGCACGCAGCTTGGTATATCACAATTGCTAGGTACCACTACTACCACATGGTTCTTCCTTTATAGTGGTAGTACTGTGTTAGTTAACAATCATTGGACTGGACCAATCACTATTGCTTGCATTGGCGTAGAGAGCAATGCAATGCAAGGTAGGTTGCTCAAGTGTTCTAGATGCATGCACATGCACTGCACGACGGCACACACGTAGGTAGTAGAAAACGGCAAGCTGGTTTGGTTTGCAATGGTCCCTTACATAAGACGAGTAAAGACTATCCACGCGTGCATGCATGCATGCAATGCAACCTCAGTCCATTATGACGTCGTCGCCTCTCTGATGCATGCATGCATGGGTGGTCGATCCATGCAGATCTGCGACTTCGGGCTGGCGAGGTGGCTGCCGGCGAAGCTGACACACCTGCAGGTGACGGTGTTCGAGGGCACCTTCGGGTACGTGCCGCCCGAGTACACGACGCACGGCGTGTTCAGCGAGAAGACGGACGTGTTCGCGCTCGGCGTCGTGCTGCTCGAGCTCCTCACCGGCCGCCGCGCCATCGACGCCGCCAAGCTCAGCCTCGTCGCATGGGTATGTTGCATATGTCGATCACGTACTCACGCACGAGATCGATGGATCTCTTCTTGCCTTAATCCTCGTTCTGATGCATATATAATCTCGTACGCGTGCCAATGCCATGCATGATGCGCAGGCGAAGCAGTACCTCGACGTGGAGGACGGCGAGGAAGACGGCGACGAGACCCTGAAGATGGCCGACCCTGCGCTGGGCGGGCGGTACGACGCCGAGCAGCTCCGGAACATGGCGTGGGCGGCCAAACTCTGCGTCCACACCTCCCCACACCACCGCCCACAGATGAGCGAGGTACTCCACTACACCCCTTGCGCTGAAAAGTCATGCATGCATGCGTGGTCAAACTTCACACGGTGTTTGAGTTGCGTAGCCAACCGTTCTAATGTAGTTCTGGTGTAGACTGTTGTAAGAAAAAATGTCTCGGTGTAGACTGCTTTTAATTTTGTGGGTTGATGAGTTTTAATATTTAGAAACGACACCAATTGATTAATCAAATGTTGCAACAGAAATATTGACGAAATTATGTTTTAAGTCCACGTTGATGTCTAGAACATTTCACTTAGGGGGTATTTGGATCAGGGAGCTAATAATTAACCCATGTTTTTGATACCAAACGTGGATTAATTTCAGCTAATAAGAGGTAACGAGGGCTAATGGGTGGTTTGAAACAATTAGCCCTTATTAGCCTATAATTAGCTCATGTTTAATCCATTTTCACAAGGTGGACTAGTTTTTAGCCTTAGGATCTAAACAAGCCCTTAATCGTTATTGGAGTGTAAGATGTTTCACATACCACCATCCAATGGAAATGGAAAGCAGGGTATTTCTTTATTAATTATCTTCAACATGTTAGAGTATTTTTGTGTGCAACAGGTGGTGCAGATACTGGTAGGAGAGGGGGCGCATCCACGTGGCGGTGGGAGGTACGGTGGGGCCCACCAGCCCGATGAGCTGCAGGAAATGAACGGCTACGATGCAGCAGCGGGATATGTGGATGATCTGAGTCGCCATAAGGCGCTCGCCTTCGCAGTCGACTTGGACTCACCACGAACATACACCCAGCACGTCTCTTCTTGAAGTACTAGGCACCTGGCACATTTTTTTGTCGTGCTGCTTCTGATGTTTTTGATGTATATTTTGTACAAACATAATTGTTAGATTGCGCATTGTGTATCGTGAAGAGTGAGGAAACTGAACATTTTAAGTACAAGTTTAAATTGGTTCTTACAGATAGGATACGTACCTCTGTAAAGCACGGGCGCCGGGAGCTGGCGTGAGGAGGGCATTGAACATTCAACTGCCCATGCATGCCCTGAACTGTATCGTTCCCTTATTCAATGCCTTCATTACTTGATGATCTTAAAGCTGGCAACATTATTAACCGCGGTTGTGCCTTCATGACAATAATGATTGTACAAGGAGTGATGACGAAGCTTCTCGTGCCAGAGCAGTAGAATCACAAAAACACAACAGTAAAATCATGTACTGGCTTAATTATATGGCCAAGAATGATAAGATTACTTCACCTGAATCCCATCTTAATTCTTACTGCATTAAGGGCACGTTTAGTTCACGAAAAAATTTGGGTTTGGCTACTGTAGCACTTTCGTTTGTATTTAGCAATTAGTGTCTAATTATGGACTAATTAGGTTCGAAAGTTTCGTCTCGCGATTTCTCACCCAACTGTGCAATTAGTTTTTTTTCCATCTATATTTAATGCTCCATGCATGCATCCAAAAATTCGATGTGATGGGCAAAAACCAAAAAAAATTGGAACTAACCGCGCCCTAAACCAAAAGTCTTGTTTTGCCACCCACCATGATGTGAGTGTGACTGCACCTATGAAAACTTTGTCTGTAACAATTGATAGAGGCTTCATTCCTTGTGCAACATGTATTATTAAGGGCAGTCCCAATGCTAAAAATTATAAGTAGTTTCTATATCTATAATTTTCATAGACACCGCATATAGAAACCATGGTTCCAATGGATAGTTTGTACAGAATAATTTTTTATCCAATCACATACATTCTCTCTCCATTATCTACCAATCACATCCCTTCATGTCTTGGTTTTCGTATAGACAAGGTTTGTAACTTATACCCGATTTCTATGATTTTTGCTCTCTCTCTCTTCAATAACTACCTTGTCACATCAGCAAAATGCTTAGGTGGCAATACAATTAATGTCCATAGAAACTATGGTGGTTTCTACATTATGAGTGCCCTAACCCACAAACATCTCTGAATTAGCATGGATGGTGTCTGACTTAATAAGGTTATTAAATGCCAGATTCTTTGCCCTGAGAAATTACTGTGTCATCCCCATTCCAAAAAGGAAAAAAAGATGTTTCTGGGTTGTTTGAAGTAAAAATAAAAATTAAACTTTGTTGCACGTCTTGGGTTTGATACATAACTGTTATACTAATGGATTTGTATCCAAAAATAGTTTTACAGTAAAATATTTTTACCCTCTGTTACAAGATATTGTAACAAAAATAACTGCCCAAAGTTGTAGTTCGTAAACCATTTGTCAATTAGCGAAACAACAACTATTTGTGGTTCGAGGGGGCAATATATTGTTTTTACACAATCACAAACAAAATAGTGAAACGATATTGTACGTAGGAATAGGTCACTACATCTTTTTTTTTTGGGAAAAATATGTTACTACATCTGAATCACAGCTTACTAACTGAACATCAGTTTTGTTTGCACCCACAAACCTTCATGGACGCAGAGCATTGAAACAATGAAAATTTCCTCGCAAAATCATATGTACAAACAGAACACGCAGTAGCAATTTTCAACAATTATTATTACAAAATTAAACTTAAAAAAAGCTACATTTTAAGCACTTTCATTTTTATTAGGGAAAAAACAAGCCAACTGCTCCGGTTCCAAAAAAAAAAAAAGGCAAGAGAGAAGAAAACAAGACAAGAGCTCAGTTTTGTTCAACTAAGGGGATACTATATGTTTAGAATTTACATACAAATTAGCTAATGAGGCACCAGAGAACATCACACAGGATAGAAATCCTGGATTCTATGGCGCTAGATATTGTTCGTTGGTTTTTCACTTGGTTTGAAGCTGGCAAACATTGGGCACGGGCGCGTGCTGTTTAAGACGTACGGACACACTTTATGTGTCATCGGACCCACAGTAATGAAGATCGTCTTGTCCCATAGCATCCCAAACACAACAATCAAAGTCTGTTCGTTTTGGCGGGATTGGCTTATAAGCCATGGTTTATAAGCTAGATATGAACAAGTGAACAGGCTTGCCCTACCAGATTAATTATTGCAAACAATACGTATGTTTACATCACCTCAATCTCCACATCAGCACATTAAACCAACAGCAGTAATATTTATTTGGTACCCACCATCGTGTATATATATTTTTCTCGTCGTATAGTGCTAAGTCAAACACTCAGTAGCTTCAAAGTAACCACCAAAAATGTCGATGGTGTTTCACTTTTCACCTCAGAAAACACCTGCCATTCTCACGAGGTCTGCGCTTGTGGTAGGTGGCCGGGTGCAGCCGGATTACTCCAATGGAAGATGAGCAGGAAGCAGAGTAGTGGTACGTAGCTGAAACGGCAGTAGTAATGGCATGAATGCGCAGATTTGGTTCGGTTGTGTTTGGTTGGCGCCGCTGCACACACATTCAATTCGATGGCCATGGCCAGCCAGCGCGGCTCCATCGCCCTCGTCTTCTGCTTCCGCTTCCTTCTATGCAGTGTGTGTGCGTGTGCGCAGCGACGGATCAAAAAAAATAAATTTAGAGGCACATACCTCCGACTGTATATTGCTTCTGTTTTTTTACATGTCATATTAGTCTATCATATAAAGTCAAACATTTATTTTTAACTATCAATTTTTTTTAAAAAAATTGTGTATGTTAACAATATAAGATTTATTTTTTTAGATTCACTATGAGAAATATCTTCACAATATATAGTTCACATGTTGTGAAACTATATTATTTTAGAAAAAAAAACAGTTAAAATTAGGAATATTTAACTTAAAACAAACCTAATACGACAATCAGAACAGAGGGAGTACTCTCATGTGCAAAAAAGAATGGAAATCCGGAGAAGTCAAATAATCCTAAATTATAAAAAATAATATTAATATTGTATCTTAAAATAAATTATCAAAATATTTCCTTCAAAAAAAAATAAATTATCAAAATATATTCCATGATAAAATTATTAAACTCCAGAAGTGGGGAGGCTTTCCTACACCTTTCACTCTTTTCTTTTCTTTTCTTCAGGACCAATGGATTACTCCGTAGTATAGTACTCCTGTATACTCTGGAGAAGTTTCTTGTGGGCTCAGACCAGCTCCAGTGTGTATATCAAGGATTTGTTTGGTAGAGCTTTAAGAACAGCTTCTAGGATAAACCCAAAGAAGCTCTCTTAAATAGTTTTTTTTTTGGTAAGAAGTGATTCTATATTGATTCTGTGAATTGATGAAATGAACTAGGAAGCTAAAATCTGAAAAAGTAGCTTCTCCAAATTCATTAAACGCATAGAGTTACTGTATGCATGGAGTTTATCCTATGGAATCGTAGAGAAGCTTTTTCAGCCGGAGAATCACTTTTCACAATAAATTTAGCTTCCACATAGTCTTATTTATGCACCAAACCAAAAATAGAATCGTGGAGGAACTCTACCAAACAAACCCTACGAGTGCATAACCTTAGAATCTATAAGCACATGTAGCTTATTTAGGCACCGATGTAAAGAACAAACAAAAAATCCTTTTGACCTAGCCATGGGAAGCGGATGAAGGAAGTTATTGGTGATAATACATTTGATTGCTCAATAAGGTTATACTAACGACATGATAAGAAATTATAGATTAGAGCAAATTCTACCTGTATGGGACTTGATGACCTGGCTTCCTTTGCTCAAAAACGCTGAACTTGCTTCTCATAGCGTCCATGATGACATCCCCGTAGGGCGTAGCCCCGGAAAGGTGCATTGCATGCAACGCACAACGCGCGAGACGACGGGACATTTGGATAAAGATGGCGGTCATGCCCTACTCCTTGCTCGCTACACCAACTTTTTGTCCCCTGCCTCCCGAGGACTGGAATTGCTCCTACGAGTCGCCCATGATTAGGGCAAAACAGAGCACAACGTGACAAGGACAAGACGAAGATGCTGCTGCCTCCTCCTGCCTGAAAGCATACCAACACAAACACCCCCGTCCCATCTTTTTGCATGCTAGAAATCATCAGTCTTCAGCCAGGCACTGACAGGCTCCCAGGCGTGGCGCGTGGAGATTCGTGCTCGCGACCACAGTCACGGCCCGGCCCCCACATGACAGCGACGGCGAGGCGCACGGGCTGTGACCGTCCTTGGCCAGCTGGCTCCTGCGGCTTGGCATCTGTTTCTGCGGCGCGCTGCCCTGCAACTGGGTAAAAGCGCCACCGCCGGCCCACTGCACTCCCTCCGACCACGCCAGACGCCACACAATCACCTCCCACTCCTGTCCCCTGCTCCAGTGATGCCTGACGCTGCCATGTGGGACCCGGACGTCTGTGAGAGACCCGTTCGCCTAGCAGGGCCCCACACCCTCGGCCGCACGCGCTTCAAAGCAGAGTCCCCTGTCCCCCATCCCCAAAGCCCTCTCCCCCAAGCTCACCAGTCACCACCACCACCACCCCACTCCGCTGCCACTGCCGCTTGCTGCTATCACCGCCGCCGCCACGCCTAATCCAGCGAGGCCATGGCCTCGCGCCTCCTGCCGCCGGCGCTCGCGCCGCTGCTCCTCCTCCTCTCGGCGGCGGCGTCGCCCGCGGCCGAGGCGACGCTGCACCCGGTGGACTACCTGGCGCTGCAAGCCGTGCGGCGGGCGCTGACGGACCTCCCAGGCTCCCGCTTCTTCGCCTCCTGGGACTTCACAGGCGACCCCTGCTTGTTCGCGGGCGTCTCCTGCTCCCCGGACGGCCGCGTCACCACACTCGCCCTCGGCGACCCGCGCGCGGGCGCGCCGGGCCTCGCCGGCACCTTCCCGTCCGCGGCCATCGCCACGCTCCACGCGCTGACCTCGCTCTCCCTCGTGCCGGGCCGCGTCACGGGGACGCTCTCCCCGGCCGTCACCTCCCTGCCCGCGCTCCGCTTCCTCGCGCTCGCTGGGAACCTCCTCTCCGGCGACCTCCCGGCGTCCTTCGCGCCCGCGCTCCGCACCGTCGACCTCAGCAAGAACGGGTTCACGGGGCGGGTACCCGCGTCGCTGCTCCAGCTGCGGGTCCTGCGGACGCTCGTCCTCTCCCACAACGCGCTCTCCGGCGAGATCCCGCGGGCGGTGAGGTCCCCGCTGCTCCACCTCGACCTCCGCAGCAACCGCCTGTCGGGCGGGGTCCCGCCGCTGCCGGGCACGCTGGTGTACCTCTCGCTGGCGGGGAACCGGCTCTCCGGACCCGTCGGGGGCGTGCTGCGGCGGCTGCCCAGGCTGTCGTTCCTCGACCTCGGACGGAACTTGTTCTCCGGCGAGGTGCCCGGGGAGGTGTTCGCGTTCAGCCGGATCGGGTACCTGCAGCTGCGGAAGAACGCCTTCTCGGGGGAGCTCCGCCCGGCCGGGCGCGTCCCGCCGGGCGCCACCGTGGACCTCAGCCACAACGCGCTCTCCGGCCGCGTCCCGCCCGAGCTCGCCACGGCAAGCGCGGTGTACCTCAACGGCAACCGGCTCGCGGGCGAGGTGCCGCGGGAGGTGGCCGCGGCGGCCGAGGCGGGGCGGATGCGGGTGCTCTTCCTCCAGGACAACTTCCTCACAGGGATCGCGGTGGGTGGCGTCCCCGCCAGCGCCGCCGTGTGCGCGCACTGGAACTGTGTCGCGCCGCCGCCGGCTGTCGTCGCCGCCTGCCCTGCCAAGGGCGGCAGGGGACGCCGGCGGCCACAGACGCAGTGCCGCGGCCGGAGGGGGTGAGTTCTTCTTCACACACAACCTACCGAGAAGGGGTTTTGGCTGGGTTTAGTGGGTAATGATGATGGTCAGAAGGTCTCATGGCTCATGAGACCCACAACCTCAAGTGATTAGTAATAATTCTTGGTGTACATTTTGCGGTTAATTCTGAGATATAGGGCTGTGATTTTGTCGGTTGGACACGTGGACGGCGGATGATGTCGATGTCAGTGGTTGGAGATTACTACTACATAGGAAAAGTTGGCGTAAAGGAAAAGTTAGAATTAAGGTGCTTCATGTTGTTTGGTCTCAACTCCGAAATCAATTGAAAACCCACAATTTCTACTTTGCCATTTGTGTTGATATTGGGATCAATTTGCAGGAAATTGTTTGCCCCAGCCATTATCTTATCCTTATGAATCCATATCAAGTTTGCTCCACATAATCCATAGCCATCTCAATTCACACAGCATCTATTTTGCCAATGTCAAGTGGATTCATACACTGAAGACAGAGTCAAGATACTATATTTCTTTTTCTGCACCTTTGCACAATGTTCAGTCCAGCTAAGTGACTTGTATTTATACTGAGATTACCTGGTACTCAAATTGAACAGGCCAGCGTTTTGCATCATACTTGATTCATGCAAAATTTTGCTGCATATAGTACACAGCGTGTCATAGCTGCTTATGAATTCTGTTGTGTGGTCTCCAACCAAATGACAACCCGCAAATTTGACCTATATTGACTTCTTTACAGGACAGAGTCCTTGACAACTCATTCTCTTCTTTTATTTCTTTCCAACTTTCATCTTTCCAATTGTCCGTTGTATCTGATGCGTTTCCACTGTGAATGGTAAAATTGAACACTGAAGACAGAGTCAAGATACCATATTTCTTTTCTCCACAAAGTTCAGTTGAGCTAAGTGACTTGTATTTATATTGAGATTATTAGGTACTCAAAATGAACAGGTCAGCGTTCTGCATCAGACTTGATTCATGCAAATTTTTGCTGCATCTAACTCATAGCGTGCCACAGCTGCTTATGAATTCTGTTCTGTGGCCTTGAACCTGTTTGCAGGACAGAGTCGTTGATTCAAATGAAATTCTGCTCCAAACGTTTCATAAACATGACAACTCGTTCTGTGCTTTGATTGCTTCCCTGCTTTCATCTTTCCAATTCTCCGTAGTATCTGATGCATTTCTGCTGTCAATGGTAAAGCAAATGTAAGAGCTCTGTTAAGCTGTAATAACAGAGATGGTTGTTCCTGAACTCTTATTGTGTGGTCCAAATAAAACTACTGCCCACATCTGTACTGATGTTGAGGTTATTCCATATCGAAATTCAGCAGGACAGATACTACCATGTGCCTGTTTAGTTCTCAAAATTTTGCAATTTTTTTCAAGATTCCTCGTCACATCGAATCTTTGGACACATACATGAAGCATTAAAAATAAATAAAAAATAAAACTAATTACACAGTTTAGACGAAATTCACGAGACGAATCTTTTAAGCCTAATTAGACTATGATTGGACACTAATTGCTAAATAACAACGAAAATGCTACAGTACCATTTACTAAGAAATTTCGCCAACTAAACAAGGCCCATTACATACAATCTGTAGTTCGTACGGAGCTCTGCTCCAGAAACGCGTCTATTGGCAGCAATGTCCACTGGATCCATACATACAGTGAAGGATACTGTATTATCTTCTTTCTTTCTTTTTTGTCTGAGTGGACTTTGTAGCGTTGAAGGATGGGCATCATCTCCTTCCGAGAATCCAAAGCTCACTTTGGGAGCAATGGAAGAAGCTGGGAATTGACAAGAACAATCTTGTGCTACAGTCAGTCAGTCATGGATGGTCACAGTAGTCTTCCATCTCCATATCGGATTCTATGTAGTGCCCCCTGCAAAGCAAAGTTGCAAACCTGTCTGTCTGTGAGTCTGTCTTGTTCTTAGTAGTAGTAAGACCTTTTTAACCTTTTGATAGAAAAAAGCAAGTAGTAGAGCAGTACATACAGTACTTACTAGTAGAGAACAAAAATGGCATATTCGGCCCAGAATCTCTGGGAATCCGAGGGATTCATAGCTCAGACCCGTACCAAATCATGCTGTAAGCTGCAAGTAAACATGCAGCAACTTTTCACCCTCCCCCTCTCTCCCCAGCTCCTAATCATGACCTCAAATCTTTATTTTCCCCTGTTGGCAAGCAGGCAGGAATGATGCCAGCATAGTTGCCTACGCCTAGTAGTATATGCACAAGACAAAATGTTTCTCTTGAGGCATGTGGCGACATGGCTTTGTTCCGCATCATTGGCCATGCTGCTGCCATTGTGCCTGAGAGGAGCAAGCTATCATGATTCATGATCCTTGGGCGTCCATGGCGACAACCCTCCAAAGTGCAGGATCAATTAGAGGATGGATGGATCGGCTAGGCTAATGGGCTGTGCTAGAGGCTAGAGCTGGAGCTGGACGCCGGCGGGCGGGCGCGCGCGCTCTTGTTGTCTGGCCTGGCTTGGGCGCTGCTGCTATCCTACTACACTGCAGCTTCAGTAATCAGAAATTCCGAACCAGCGAGGCAGTCCACTGGCTGAACTTTGGTTCTGCGTTTGCCCTGTTTCGGTTCTGCCTGCGTCCCCTCCGAGAACCACTAGCTCAGGGCCTTGTTTGCTCTCTTGTACGTACACTCGTGAATCTTGTCACTATACTCGGAGGCTCCGATGGATGGATGTGTAGCAGCAGTGTATATTTGGTATTTTAGCCTTTTTCAGACCTATGTTTTTCATGCAAATAGACCATTGGTGAACAAACACTATTGTTGAGGAACAAATTTCTTACGAATATTGAGACCTTTTTTTTTTCTTTTCTGGTAAGCTGAAACAAATTCCTCCAGAAGCTTGAACAATTTCCATACCATCTTTGAACATTTTGTCTGAGCCTACACCACTTTTCTCCTCAATCTGAAACATTTTCTCTTATATCAGAATACAATTTTCTTGTGAAGCTTAGGAACACATCTTGTAAACTTGGAAACACGGCTTTCTTGTAAGCTACAGTAAATATGCCATCAAGCTAGGGTATTCTTCCTTTGAACCTAGAACAACTTTCACATGCAGCTAGAATAACTTTGTTTCAATCCTGGAACAATTTTCTTCTGGTTAACTTAGAATATTGTTCTTGTGGAACAACCAAAAAGTTCTAGCTTCATTGAAGAACGGTTCCTAGAAAATAATATGAACACAATATACTAAATTGGGGACTTTTTAAGTGTTTTTTTTGTAACATAAACACAATGGTACATAATCATAATCTAATTCATTACTACAAAAATGATTTTTAGACGTGCCCCTTTTGTTTCTAGAGATAACTCTATCAAGGTTTTAGAGACAACCACCCTCTAGAAATCGATTTCTAAAGATACGTGGTGTTTCTGGCCACATTTAAAATTAACTCTATTTCTTGAATAGTTGAACACACCAGCCATCTATTTATATCAAAGTTATAGAGCTCAAAGAGATTTATAATTTTATAGTTGACTTTTTTTTTATTTGAAATCATTTAGAGTAATTTCTCAGATTTCCAAATTTATTTTTTGAAATATTTAAAACACCCTCAGATGTAGAAACACCCTACACCAAAATTATAGTGCTCGATGCGACCTAAGACTTTATAGTTTAATTTTTTATTAAAGATCATTTAGGGCCAAAATATTCACTACAAAATTTCTGAAAGCTAGTACAAGAGGTGAAAAGGATAGTATCCTACTCTATGACAGAAGTGAGACTTTAGGTCCTAGGTTCGATCCCCACAATCTGCATGCCCGTGAGGGGTTGTCTATTGTTTGCCCGATTTGTAATTTCTAAAAAATGGTTTCTAGAGTCGATTATGTTTCAGACCGCCTCTAGAATGCCAATTCCCTCGAATGGTTGAGTATGTACTTCTAGATATAGTGAATAACAACCACCTCTAAATATGTTTTTAACACAGTGATCTTAATCTTCCATCTAAAAACTATGATCATTTTACCATCTTATTATTTAAGCTTTTAATTTGTAGTAGTTTATACTCGGCCTCATTAGTCACTCCATTTTGTGATCACGAGTGCTTATATTATATTAAGAGCTCCGAGTTTTAGTTTGATTCTAGGCTCCCGAAAATTTAGTACCAGTAGGTCCGTTTGGATACAACTAAGTACTCTATCTGTTCTGGTGTCTAGATGCGTAGCAAAAAAAAATGAATCTTGAAAATGCCATAACGTCTTATAGTTTGGGACGGATGAAGTAAAATTTAGCGGCTACCAATAACTAAGGTGAATTCTTATAGTACGACCATGGAAATCCATGGTACAGGCTCATATGTGAGGGACTCGGACTCTGGGCCCCGACTCCACTCGGAATTCACAGATGGCGGCGGCGACTCGGAATTGCACCTCTGCCTCTCCGATATATAGAGGGTCAGTAAATAAATACGGGAAACATCTCCATTGGTTCGTCGCTCATCCTTCGCGGCGTCGTTGCAGCATAACAACTCTCCCGTCCATCTCCATCGAACAGCCCACCACGTCGAGCGCGCCCGCCTGATTACTTGATCGGATCTATGGACTCCAGCGACGCCGCCAGCACGCTTGATTACATGACCGGATCGATGGTCTCCACCAACGCTGCCGCGCCAGCCATCTCCCGGATAGCGCCAAGGCCGCCGCCGCGTGTATTTCAGCCGTCTCCGCCACCAGCGCCACCACTGGTGGACCTAGTAGGTTTTCAGATCAGGCCGGTCACAGCGGCGAACATGGAGTCGGAGATGGACGCCATCGCCTCCCTGCTCACGACGTACCCCATCATCACCATCGACGCAGAGTACGCGGTCGCCGTCCATCACCGCCCGTCCGCGGCGTCGCTCGCTCTGCGAGAGCGGTACGCGCTCGTCAAGTCCAACGTCGACGAGGTGCCCATCGTGCAGCTCGGGATCACGCTCTGCGACGAGCACGGCAACCTCCCTGTCCTCTTCCACGGCCACGGACG